ATTGTGGGAAAATTCTACTACCAGTCCTTCATCACCTTAGACGAAATAGGGCGAATACATCTCATATTACAATATAATACTCAAATCTATTTTACTGAGATGGGCTAAAAGGCATTTCTATGCAATACGACTCTACAAGCCACAATCTCCACTGCTACACCACATTGCAATACATTTTACAGCATAAATCGACATTACTACGAATTCTGCTAGATCATAGCATAAAACAAAAAAGACTTATGCTACTGCACTTCATACACTATTTTTGTAGACTTTGTTCCAATTCACTCTATTCATTTACATAAACCTGGCCTTATCGTTCCATACTATATTACAAAGCAAAGAGCTATGAAGCTACATTAAATCTTGCCAATCAAGAAGAAATTGTTAAGGTATGATAAATATGGAATCATATACTTTCGTAGAGTGCATAAAGTCTCAAATATCTTTACATGTATTTTGGTTTACACAAGCCGTTTGCTAAACAATGTGAGCAAATAGAATTACCCTTGACGTGCATACGTAATGATTATGGATCCAATTTGTGACGCAACTAACCAGAGACAATGCTATCATCAGCCAAGCCAAGCGAAGCCCAAATGAGGGCCAGTGCCGGTTTCGATGTCCTCTTAGTCTCGTAGACCTGTATCCTCTAAGCGAAGACCCGCTTCTTCTTCTTCTTCCTCCTCCTCTTCTTCTTGCCAGTTGAATAGATGACTGGTCGCCAGGGCAACCGTACTTGAATGTCCTATCCCCGTGTGGAAGCTCTTGAATTGGGCGACTTCTTGCATCCAGCCAGACACTAATGCCGGCCATTAAGGCGATTCCGAGGGGCGCCCAGCAGGAGACCTGAAGAAACACAGCCAGCAGGCCACAAGTACGTCGGGCCAGACCTTCTAGTCCACAAAAGTCGGAATAACTGCTGAGCTGTCGGGCTCCCATGAAGAGGCCGAACCAGATGGCCAGACCAAGTCCCACATGCTTCACCAGTTCACAACGGCCCAGGAGGCTCGTCCAGGCGACAAACAAAGCGACGACTGGACCACAACCTGAACTCTTGGAGCCTATGCCTCTCGACTTGTTGGTCTCATCTGCACCGCATGAACTCTCCTGCGAGTTGGCGTCCTCGAGATCCTTCAACGAGGCGTGCAAATGGTAGATGTGGCTCGAGACTGAGGCGTTCTGGTACGCAGCTGCCTGACAGGACGTCGCTAAGCTCGTCTCGTGCGTCCCGAGTCTGGCCATAGAGGCTGGCACGGTGCACACAGACCTGAGTTTTGGCACGCCTGGAAGGCTGGAGCGTCGGTGAAGGCTCTGTCCGACAGGACCTTGGGCCCTGAGGAGTCGTGGAGAGTGGATGATCCTCGGTCTAGACGCCGGAGGCGAAGGCCCCGGGGCCAGACTAGAAAGTGGCATAAAGAAAGAGGACGAGTGAAGAAGATCAACCCACCGGTGCTCATTCAGTCTCGTCAAGTGGGCTGTCGCTAAGGCCTCTCGTAGAAGGCCGTCTACAGACGCTCAATCTGTTGCGAATGTACCGAAGAAGAAGCCCCGGCTGCCGCGATGAGTTTTGGGCTCAAGTGAAGAGGGCAACAAGAGTACATGGGCAAGCTGTTGTCGGCCGCCTTTAAGGCTGAGTAATGAGTACACTTCAAGGCTCTATTCTGACTCCACCAATCAATGGTAAAATGAGGCTATAGTCTTGTTTGACTGAACTCATCTCTCCGGATTATTAGAATGCGATCAGCCAACGGTTGGCCTGGTATGAGTTGTCGAGGCATGTAAACGGCCGGAAGGCTCGTGTCATAGGCTAGACCGAGGCGAAGGAGAACATGGCTTACAAGGGTCGTGATGGTACGAGACCCTCTGAGTGAGAACACTGCAAAGTGGGTTTGATTTGTAGAAAACCTTCTTGGTTTGTATGTGTCTAGATAAATTCCATTATGAGGGAGAGTGTGTGATGACTAGACGCAAGTTTTGCTTCCGCTAAAACACTCAGTTGAATCCAACTTAGTCATGACTAGAGGTGGGTTGACCTCGTTATCGCAAATTAAACTTGTTGTTTGGCTTACTTGGTAGAACGTACCTTGTCCCCCGTCTGATACTGGAAATTATGATAACTCGTATAGCAGAGGACTTCGGACAAGGTGTGTTCAAATAAGTCGCCCTGACAACAAGACCAAGTTGCGAAAGTGAGGTCAACCCACTTCTATAAATCGGAAAGAGACTGCGACCATACCGCAGGTCACATCCTCTTAATCTTCACATCTTAGCCAGGTCTTATTTGGTTGGTGTTGTCATGCTGAAGTTCATTTCGTATGGAATTACAATCAAAAGATTGGTAGGTCAATCTCACCTGAACACGTCGGCAGATTCGCGCTGTGCTACATCTTTAAGCTGACGTTCAGGTTAATGTAGTCCACGAGATTTTCTAAAACATTTCGGGCGAAGACGCACCAAACCTTATCTCGTATTATACTTTGCATCGTCAAAGCTGTAACTCATTCTTGCAAATAGCTCAACTCAGCACTATGTTAAAAAGACAGACCAGCTTTTGCTATATTATATTTATACTCCTTGCGATAAAAGTTTGGTATATAGTGGGTGGGTGTATGCACAGAAATGTCTCTAAGCGAAACTTGCCATAATTCACACTATTTAGAAAAAAAACCGAAGCAAGAAGCACGACTGAGCTTGCCTTAGTCCGTAAGTAACTCTGGCTCAATTGAGGAGATGTAAGCCTGTACGTGTGAGAGTCAGGTTATCAAACCATCAGTTCGAACCCCTTAATTTGGGCTGTATGGGTTAGATAACCCAAGGAGGAGCAAGCCTGGGATTACATAATCTCGCACGTCAGTTTTGGTTGATGAGCTTGGCATGTCTGTTTCGCGAGTGTGAGTCTGGTCAGAACCATCATTGAGCTGAGAACTGTATGGCCTTCTTTTGGACGGCAACTTAACACCCTCTCTCCCATTCAGTCTATCAATCATGCATAATTTTTCATATTCAAACTTCTACCAGCATTGGTCACATTCAATGTGTTCCATAATTTAATAATTATAATAGCCTCTTTTATCTTGCGTTTCGTAACAGCCAAACCATAATCAGCAATCCTCTGACCGTTTCACTCAGCTGCCTACTCAAGCATTTTTGTGCTCTGCCAATCTTTAGCGGATCCCTCGACAAGTCTCACCAACATAAGATCGACCACAGGGGCACACAATCTTGTAATGGCCGAACCTTGTTAATGAATCATATTTTTCTTTGAATAAAAGCAGAACCAAAAAAGGTGTCAGAGTTTTTTTGAAAATTGCTTTTATCCCACACTTCCCAACTAGTTCTTCTATTTTCACAGTTAGAAACTATGACGGCAAGATTTAAACATGAGAAAGGGTCTCGGCTTGCCTATATCAGACAAAATAGTCTCCATCTGCAAATATATTACCCATCAAAAAGATATTATTAACAATTAAACCCAAAAGATTACTATTCTCCAGGACTAAATTTTTCAATCTCCTTAGCTCTTCGGTCAAAAGATTTTCCTCCGTCAGCTTCATACTCCTAATTAGCATAGTTTATAAATTTCAACTTTAGTTTTGTAATCATGGTAAGAAATAAAATATTTAACAAAACTAGTCAACTTACTATTTTCACTAACAATCATAACATTCAAGAAAAGTTGTCTCTTATTTTCTACTAATTTCATTGTGAACTTCCTATTTCTTTACCGCTAATAAGTGAAAATATGAAAATATCTAAACTGTCATTCCCATGATGCCAAACAACAAAATAATCATCCATATGTCTAATAGACAATTAGTGTAACCTTGAAGCTTTTGCAAAAATGAGTCAAAGTTCTGTCGCCGTTTGCCATATGATGGACGAAAGCTCAGCCAGTTTTCATCCGAAGCGATGGAGAATGCCTCGTAGACCTCATCAATCTGTACGTATTCTCAGAGCCAAACGGCGGTAGCACAACTGGAATCAGTTGTCATAATCTTGTGACATCGATCTATAAGTATCTTCATCCTTCACTTACATACGAAATCAAGGTCTTCACAACAATTTCAGCTCAGAAGATTCATTTAAGCCCTTGTTTTATTTGGATTTGTTTATACCGGAACGATCTCTCAAACTACAGCAGACCAAGTGGAATCTACCGTCATATTATAATGGAATCGTTTTGCAGAATCTTCATTGCACACATCTTGTTGAACTTGAAATGAATTTAAAAGTTAATAATTGGTATGAAATGGATTACAAGGACAAATGGTACAAACAGAGTTGGAGAAGCTAATTATGACAGGAAGTCCTCTGTTTCAAAGATTCTTTGTCTATTTCGGAAAATCACAGCCAATATTTTGACTCACTCTACGTCATAATGTTGGGAATGGATGACCCGAGAATAGATGATTTCAGATCTGAAGCTAAATTTCCTATAATTTACTGAGTAACTAATTCGAAATAGTATTTAATTTCACTTAGACTCATCTCACAAAAAGTCTCTTTCGCACTAGACTGCAGTTTCGATTTCGTCCTTGTCTCTTTCTCCACTCTTAAGGGATACGTTACCGAGTGTTTGGCGTCAAGCAACAGCGCTACCATTTGAACACATCCAATCGAAAGCTGTTGTCATATAATGAATGAGTATGCTTCGAAACTATCATTTTTTGAATTCACTATATACTATCCTTGTGTGTATCAGGCAGATATAACTTTAAAACCTTGTAATCTCAATGTAGATGGTTAAAATATCAGTCATTTTTTCTATACCTTGAATGATCGGCTGGCTTGAGTTACTCATTGAAACTCACTAGCTTGGTTCAAGCATTTTTACATTCCCCTCTACAACCTGTGCTTGAAAGATTAACTGCTAATAATTTAAGATTCAGAGTGATTTCCATACATTTAGGCTCAATTTTATCTTATAAATGAGATAGTTAATAACGAGTCTAAGTCATTATGGTTCTTGCGTAAATGTATAATTTATCTATATTTAATGTCAGCCTCATTTTCATTTCGAGGGAATTTGGGTAAAGAAGAGATTTGCAGGTCGATCCCGCTAAGTGCCGCTTGGCTTTACTTGAACGTTCATAAAACTGCTGTATTCGAGGAAGTCTTCTTCAACTCTGGTGAAAACTGTGTAAGAGTTCGACCGTCATAATAAAGACAAAATATTATTAGGTCATGATTTATACATCCAATTCAAGCATACGAGTCAAGAAAACCTACCAAATAATCCCTAAATCCCGTATATATGCACTTAAACTTTCAATTTTTTGATACATTGCTAAACTTGTTCTAAGAACGATAACCTACTTTTGATGATGTTTGTCACATAACAAACGAAAGCTCAGCATATCTTAAT